CACACACACACACACACACACATCCTGGGCAACGTGGCGAGTCCTTATCTAACAACAGTGAAATGCATCCTGGGCAGACTGTCGGGGTTCAGCCTCCTGATGAGGCAATGAAAGTCCCATGAAACAGTCCGGCGCAATCATGCTTTTTTTTTGGGTGGAGTTGTGTATAGCCAACATGACAACACACACACGCGCGCACAAATGCTTTGAGCAACACTGCCTGCCTTTCGTTTCTCCTTTTGTGTTTTCAGTTTTTTTTTTTTTTTTTCCTTTCCTTCTTTTAATCTTACCTTGTTTCTTCCCATCCAGTCAAGACAATCCAAGTCTATCTGTTGTGGTGGAATGCTGGCATCAACTAGTAGCAACACTGCAACCAACTGCTTCCTCTGCAGAAAATACTCCTTTGTGAAGTCACTCCAGTTCAGACGAATTCCCGAAGGGACCTTGGCAAACCTGAGGCACATTAGTCGTCACACATTATTCATTTCTTCTTAATAAATAAATAAATCAAAAAGGTCGTTATGGTCCGGTCCGGGCTCCATATCCATTCTGGGGAGGGTCAGTCCGGTTCCTTTGACACCCGGCGAGTCATGAAAACAACATTATTCAATTCTTAAGTTTTGCTTCTAGTTTACCAAGAAAGGGCGTAATTGCAAAGTATAAGAAAAAAAAAACTGATGCAATTTGTCCAATAGTTACATAGGGTGCTTCCACAGGTTGACATCCAATCCAGCCTAAAAGTAAACAATCTGCCACAACGTAAAAATGATTTAGCTATGAAATCATTAAAAACCTTATCAAATAACCATCGCTTGTTCAAAAAACAATAGATTGATTTCATGCTAATACGCCAGTACTCACCCAATTTCATTTCAATTGAGGATCTAGTTAGTTCCTAAGGCGAGCGGCTCGACTGACTCCTAGTCGTATGGGATCTAGCATATGAAGATGGAAAGCGTATACGTATGACGCCGCCTTCGGCCTACGAGGTGAGATAAAGGTATAGTCTTTGTGGTTGTTTATCTCACTTTAACCAGTGAAGTGCGCGCTCTGCAAGCGCCTTGGGCAGTTCAGCCAAATTCAACTACACTTGCACACATCATTCATACGGCTCGTACTTAAGTTCTTACAGGTGACTGTAGTGAATATGGTGAAGGCATAGTCTTACCCCATCAGCAATGGTGGAAGGTCGAGGTTCCAAGGGTTCGGTTGTTCGCCGATGAAAGTGGTAAACTCATTGCCGTGTCAGACGAGTAATCTCTGACCTTATTACTTCACTATTATTAACATTTAGAAGTGAAAGGAAGGGAGGGGAGGGAGGGGGGGAGGAGGAGAAGGGGAAAGAACACAACCTTGCTATTCCAATGAAGTATCGCTACATGATTCCAAAGAATCCAAACACCTGTTTTTTTTTTTGTAGTTTCCCCTCCTTTATGCTCCAAATCGTTCAGAACAACTTTGCGTCATTGAATAAGTGCAAAAGAAAGACAAGAGACTTCCAAGTTGCAACGAAATAGAGATTGTGGAAGTAAAAATTTGTGACTTAATTGTCATTCATCAGTATCTGAAGAGCACCTGGCAAAACACCTGTGAGGCCCAGTGTCCCTAAAATCGCATGTACCAGGCCTGCAGGTCCAGGCACGCATGAGAATGCACCTGGCTAGATACACATCAAGGTACATTGTTGATAAAGGCAGATTCTGGCCATCGCAACACTGCCGGGACCTAGCTACCTAGGTAATTTTCGCTCAATCATTCTAGGAAAAATATCGCTATACCCCAAAAAACGAACTCCATTACGATTGCACCCCCCAAAAAAACCCCTCTCACGATCCCGCCCAGGTTCCATGGCTGCCCAAATATCAGCTATGCCAAGTTCCATGGGACACCCGGGCTTGGAATGCCAAAATTTTGTCGATGTCCAGGATCTGCACCGCTGCCTTATCATTTGTCCCCTGTGCCCAGGCATTTGGGTCTCAGTGTACAGCATGTGTGTTGTCATACTCGCTATACACAATTCCACAAGAAAAGTACGACTGTTACAGACTGTTTCGTTGGACTCTGTGTTTGTGTGTGTGTGTGTGAGTGCGAGAGACAGAGACACAGAGAGAGACAGAGACAGGGAAGGGGAGAGGGATACACAGAGAGAGAGACCGGGGGGGGGGGGGGGGGGGGGGGGGGGGGCGGGGATATGCTAATCTTCTCTCTGTCACATGTGGTTTCTGGGGACTCCACTTGTCTTTTCTTTTCTTTTTTGTCTTTTATACGTGTCATCCTTGCGCAGGCGCCATGCTAATTAATCTTCTCTATATCGTACCAATTTTAACGGATTCCCCCAGGGACCCCGCTTTTCAGTGTCCCCTGGAAAAGTGGAGTCCCTTGTGTACCGTTCCAATTTTGATGGATGTCCCCGAGGCCTCAACTTTACAGCTCCTGGGTAACAGGTCGAACCGGTAAACCACCAGTACTTCCTAAGGGCATGCCTGTAAACAAGGCACGACTTTAGGAAACGTACGGGCCACTACAGGAGCGACCAAATTCATCAGACTAGAACTGTTTCTACTACTATTTTTTTCAACGGCACCTGTCCTCAGTGTACCGTTCCAAAAAAAAAAAAATTTGTGGGGAGGGGGGGG